TTGGGCTTGGGACTGGGACTGGGACTGGGGGGGGTCTTTGCAACCGCAACAGACCAGCCATAATTAATGCATGAGCTGCCAACTAACTAAACTCGTAGACTCCTGTGCCACCTCTTGCTGCTGCGCCTGCTCCTGCTCCTGTTCCGCTTCCAGTTCCTGCTACAGCTTCCGGCTACTCTTCAGCTTGGTCAGGAGAGAGGGAGGGAGGCTTCTTCCTTTGGATTGCCGGTCCGCTTTTCATTGTGCTGCGGCGGCCGCAAAAGGCCCCGGGGCGAGTGTGTGGCCAGAACTGGGCAGCAGCAGCAGGAGCCAGGACTCCGACCACCGTGCTCTGAGGCAGCTGTCGACATGGGTCGGTCGGGGCACAGCACAAATGGCAAATAATTGCATATGAAACCGCAGAAGCAGTTGACGGCCGTCCACTGCTGCAGTGCACCACCAGCCGCAGGACATACACAGGACACAGCTGGGGACCGAGAGAGAGAGACGAGGGTTAGGAAGAAGGCCGCATTGCAACGGAATCAAACTTAATTTATAATTAATTTGTGCTCCACACGTACATAGTCCTAGACACGGTGCAAATTGCGAAAGTAAATTAATGCCAAAGATTCAGATTCGGAATAGAAGGCGGAAGGAGGTTTGCCAAGGATGGTGCCCCTGGTGGATGTAGAGGAATGTGTTTGCTGCAGGCTGCAGCTTCGAATATATTGCCACATGCTGGGCCTACCCATCCGAATGCTGCAACTGCAGAGGAGAGTTATTGAAAATGGTTATTGGAGCCACAAACAAGGTAATATTTAGCAGCTCTGTAGGTACATATGTATTATGGATTGCAAGCGGCTGGGGTTTATAGAGAACTAGCACGTGGAAATGTAATGCAAAATGCAAATCCATCTACAGATCTTTCAGATCAAACATCTTGTATTTTTTACGATTCGCCACAAAACTCTGAAGAAATTTATAAATTCCCCCCCCAAGCATTTCAGCATTCTACGCCTCATCGAACGCTATATTATGTGTCTCTCTCACACACATTCCCCAACTTTTTCCTATATATTTGTACACATAATTAGAGGGGGGTGTCCTGAGTCCTGTGTACCGTGTACTGTGTCCTCTGACCAGGCCACACAATTTTCGCATTTGATTTAATTGTGAATGTATTTATTAAATAAATTATTCATGGCCTGGACAAGAGTGCACTTGTCCCATGTGAATTTCGTCCTGTGGCTGACCTAAACATGTCCTGGCCACAGTAGCATAGCACCATACCCCGAGGAGGAGTATGTGGTGGGTCAGCAGGGTGGTCAGCAGGGGGGGTGTGAGCAGAAAACTGAACTCCGTTTGCCACTGTAATTAGTTGTGGTGCAATAATCGCCTGCAACTGGCGACAGTTCTCTATGGCAAGGAATTTTCGGCCACTCTACGCTCTACATGTGTGTATGTGTGTGTCCTCCTGTGTGTATGTACTGTGTGTGGGAGCTGGGAGTTGCATATTTGGGAATGGGTCTATCTGAATTTAGCATAATGTCGAAGCCAGGAGGTAAATGTGGATGTGGATGTGGATGAGGATGGAAACATGTGTTAATGTGAACAGTGGGCGTTCATGTGGTTCGAGGGGGGGTGTTGGATGTGGATGTGGGGCCACTGAATGCTCTGTGGTTGGGTGTTGCACTTGGATCGACATCGACAACATTTTAATTTACCCAAGCGACAAAAACCAATTTTGTTTTGAATTTAACCTAAAATGCGAAAATGTGACAAATGCCACAACAAACAGCATCCATTCGAATCCAATCCATCCATACCCACCACCCCACCCCAGCCCAACCCAACCCAGCAATAATGATACTACAACAACAATAATAACCAATGCTTATGGCATAGAGGATGATTCCGATGCGTAGAAGAGGAAGGAAGCAGGAGGAAGCAGGAGGAGTAGTGGTAGCATTGTCCAGTGCATAATTTATTCAGCATTTATTTATTGGCAGTTATGATTGCATTCTGCGGCATTCCCAGGCCCAGTCCCCGTCCCCGTCTGGGAGCTCCACTCTGGTGTTCACTTAATTGACTTTGGAAAATTAGATTTGCATTTGGCAAAATTAACAGAAATGAAGACCACCCACCCACCACGGCTGCAGCAGAGCTGATAAATGATAGATGATTCAATTGATTGTATATTGGAGAATCAGAATTCAGGATTCAGAATTCCTGCCATGGACAAGAGCTGGCCAGCAGTCCAGGATCTGGAGAGCTTATTGAAATGTTGATTAAATGGCAGTAGAAGATGAAGAAAGAAATAGTGATTGAAAGATGGACAGAGGAATAATTAGATGGAACCAGCACCTGGGATTGATCGATACCCGTAGATACGAGGAGTATAAGTAGATTATGTAGATATGCTCCGTAATGGAATAGTATGATTAGATTTATTTATTTGATCCCCTACTAGAGGGGTATCCTTAAAGAGCTTGAAGATATTTGAGACTCAACATGACTCGACGGATAAATGCGAATCGCGAAATGCTTTAATAGCTACTCCACCATGGTGCCTCGTGCGGACACATATCGCTCCACATCCGACGGAAGGCGAGTCTTGCGGTGTCTCTCGTGTCAGTGCGCTGATTAAATTCGGCAAATATCGCCTATTGCCTGCTCAATGCAAAGCTGAGCAGATCTCTCTCTCTCTTTCTCACTCTCTTTGTGACTGACTGCTGCAGGGTGTGGCAATGCAAAATGACGGCAACGGTGTGGCATGTTCGGGGACTAGGACTGGGCCTGGCTCTGCTATTGGGAACATGTTGAAGTACACAAAACCCATGCAAACAAACAGGCATTGCACGGCAAACAATCCAAGGGAGAGTGAGAGCTGTAGAGAGGGTAGCGGAAAGGGGCTTAGGCAGATTCCCAGCTAGCAACTAGGAGATTCTCTACACACTACTCTCCACACTGCACACTCCACACCACCCACTCGCACTGCTGTTGGACAGACTGGCAAAAACGGCCCAGCCACGTCAACGATGGCATCGCCATCGAGCCATCGAGCCGTCGAGAAGCTTTGTTTGGTTTTGCTCCGTGCAGGCAGGAGCATCGGAGCTCTCCCCGCATGTAGTGACACCCTCTCTGCCTGCTCCTACTCCACCTCCTACTGCTCTTCATGGCATTCGCATTCGTAGTCCTAGTCGTCGTCATTTTATTGTTGTAGTCTACATCGAATGCTGCTCTGCTGCAGTTTCGGGCATTATTTGGGTTTAGTTTGGTAAATACAATCGTCAGGAGAGGGCTGGTGAGGGGGCGGATAGCAACCCAAGGGTGGAGCAACACAAATCTCTCTCTCCCTCTGTGCCCACCTATGATAAACGATACAAAACGCTCGAAACCAACAGCTTATGCAGCAGACGCTATAACGATGAGTCCTGGCAGTAACCTGAAACCTGCAACCTGCCACTGCAACTGTTGCCACAATTGCAACAACAGAATTGGAAACATATTCTGGGAATGCATTTTTGCGTTGCATCTAATGAAAACAAACCATGCCAAGAACGAAGTCGGGTCGGTCGGGGGTCTCTTGGTCTCTCTTTGCTATTGGAGCCGACAAAGCCGTTAAATAACTGCAACAAAATTCCGGAAAAACCCAATCTATGAAGTGCAACTGGAACTGGAGCAGGGATTAGAAGGGGAACGAGGCTTAAGCCATGTTGCAGATGTTTTACTTTTACATATTTCCGCCCCAACGTTTGTGCGGCTGTTGATTTTAACCGAAACACAAAATATTTTCATATACATATGTATGTATGTATATTGGTTGCTTTTCTTTGCTGTTTTCATTTTTCTAGTCGAAATCTCTTCTGCCTCTGCTGCTGCCTCCACAGCTTTTCCGATTATTCTAGGCTCTGGGAAAATTGTTAGGCTCCAGCTCTCCGACGTAGGAGCTTTAATGTACACAAAGGACCTGCGAAATGGTTTTCCCAACACATACTCGTATATAGCACTCGTACATCGTACCCGCACCGTCCTCTCATTCCGGACAACATCCACGATGTCATCGATGTTGTCGTTGCAAATTCCATTTGGCATTGAATGCGACCAGTCGAGTCGAGAGTCGAGTTGAGAGCCGAGTTGAGAGAGGAGTCGAGGGGGCGGCAGATGCAGCATCACCTGAGCTGACCTGAAAGGGGTGGAGCATAAAAGAGATGGGGCGGAACGGAACGGAACGCAGCGGAGCGGGATTTGGCTGTTGGACTGGTGGGACTGGTGGACTGGTGGCTGTCATATCTGAAAGCAATTTCGCAGCGTGCAACCCGAAAACAAGCAACGAGAATCGATAAATTCGTTGGGCGTGCAATTTGCGACAAGCGGAGGAGCCTTCAAAGAGAAAACGAGGCGGGGCCAAGGGTGTGTCAAAGGTAGAGGAGCGTTCGCCCCATTCCTGGATGCATCGCTGCCCTCCTGCCTGCCTCCCTGCCACCGCATGCCTGAGTGAGCCGTGTCCAAAATGCAAGTTTCAGGCCTTTGCAATTTGCATTCGACCAGCGATAGCTGATGGTGGCGCCACCATCACAGTGTCCATGCCACCAGAGTGTCCCAGTGGGACGTGCGCCGCGCCGCGCGCGCGCGCCGCTCCTCCATGGGTATGCAAATTGCCGCAAATGCAGCGAAGCGAATGCGCAATTTTTGGTTCGCTGAGAGGCGACATCAATCAGTTATTAGCAAAGGAAATCCGACACAGGAGGAGCATCTGTCCCTTACCCTTACCCTTTCCCAGTGCAAGTGCCTGACACTCTCCCTTTGTCTGTCCCTGGCCCTGTCCCTGTCCCTGCCCCTGCCCCTGGCCCTGCCACTATCCATATATGTACCCATGGTGTAGTATTATGTCAGACGCGGATTGGTCTCAGATGTCCACTTGACGGGAGGAGTCTTTTCACACACACATGTTCGCCATTGCTCCACTTGACTACTTCGCCCGTACTGACCGAGCCCGATTTACTCTCTTCCTATTACAGCGCCGCCCAAGGCTGGACAGAAGCGACCAGCCACCAGCCCGGCACCGCACATACCTGTGCCGCATCACCTGCAGACGCCGCCGGGCTCCGCTGTGGCCGGCAGCCCGGTTCCGCCCGGCCAGAGTAGTGGCCTGCTAAACCACGCCCTGCCCAGCAACCACATCGGCACCCCCTCGCCACAGCAACACCAACACCAGACGCACCAGCAGCAGCAGCAGCAACAACACCAGCAGCAGCAACAGCAGCAACAACACCAGCAGCAGCAGCAGCATCAGGCGCAACAGCAGGCGGTGGCAGCTGCAGTGCAGCAGCAGTTGGCCGGTGTGGGGATGCCCCCAGGTGCCATAAGCGCAGCCGCTGCGGCCAACAGTCGCGGCTCATTTGCAGCAGCCTTGCGGACACTGGCCAAGCAGGCGGACATCAAGGAGGAGGACGTGGGCGGGGACCGGAATGTGCCCACATCCGTGGCCCAAGGGCCACCGCCCACGTCGGTGGGCCAGGGGACGATGAATTCGGTGGCGGGTCGCGGTGGACCCGAGCGTGGGATGGCCAACAGTGGCGGAGGAGATGAACGAATGGGGGGCAACAAGAAGCGCTCTCCACCGTCGCCCCAGCCACCGGAGAAGATCGCCCGGCTGAGCCACACGCCGCAGAGCGTGTCCATGCAGCCAGAGATGCTGGCCAGGAGCGGCTTCCAGCCGTACAGATCGGACGAGCGGCTGATGCATCCGGCGGGCGCCTTCCCCCTGGAGGCCTATTCACACTTTCCGGGCCTGCCGGGGCTTCCGCCAGCAGGTAAGAATCGAGACCCAAGACCCCTCTTTGCTCTGTTGGCCAGCCAGCTCTAACGTGCTCCTAATCCGATCCCTTGCAGCATTTTTGAACCCCGCGGGACTGCAGTACTCGGATCCACTGTACTTGGAGCATCGCTACCAGCTGTTCCGCGCCGCCGGTGCCCATCACACCCACCCCCATGCGGCCGCCCTGTACCCGCAGATGGCCTCGCCCTACTCGCACCTGTACTCGATGATGCCGGGAGCCGCTTTGGGCATCTCGCCGGCCATGCACGACCGCATCAAGCTGGAGGAGGAGCACAGGGCACGACTGGCCCGCGAGGAGGAGCGCGAGCGGGAGATGCATCGCGAGAAGGAGCGCGAGATGCGGGAGAAGGAGCGTGAGATGCGCGAGCAGCGGGAGAAGGAGCAGCGCGAGAAGGAGCAGCGGGAGCGGGAGCGCGAACAACGCGAGAAGGAGCAGCGCGAGCGGGAGCAGAAGGAGAAGGAGGCCCGCGAGCGAAAGTTGCGCGAGGAGGAGCGGGAGCGCGAGCGCCAGCAGCTGCTGAACGCCTCCCACCACTACTCCAATCAGCTCTACTCGCCGCTCAACCGCACCCTGCTCGGCAACATGATTCCCCACCTCAACCTGAGCCTGCGCGGCCCGCCCGGATCCCTGCACGGCCTGCCCGGAATGTCGCACTACCATGCGGCGGCGGCCAACGCCCAGCGTCAGAGTCCGCATGCGGCCATGGGCCTAAATCTCGGCATGGCTGGACTGCCAGGCGTGGCGGCACTGGGCGGACACGGACCCAACCTGCAGCATCACCTGCAGCAGGCGGCCATGGGGCTGGCGCATCCGGGAGCGGCTGGTCTGACGCATCCGGGATTCTCGGCAGCCGCCCTGGGACTGAGTGCGCATCCACATAGCCTGAACCTGAGCCACCCACACATGTCCCCGCATCACCCCGCCTCGATGGCCGCCCACCAGCTGCCACCGCACACGTCGTCCGCAGGGGGAGGGGGAGGAGTGCACAGCAACTCCATTCCGGTGACCGCCGGCTCCAGCTCGTCCGCATCCTCGCCGCACAGCAGCCTCAACCTGACAGCCGCCGTTAAGCTGAGCTCTGACCAGCAGGCGGCCACTTCGACGCCCAGCAGCATCAGCATGAGCAGCAGCGGAGGGGCCCTCACCACATCCACGGCCAGCTCGCACATTCCCACAATGAGTCACTACTACCACCACGGCCACCTGGCAGCCATGCATGCGGCGGCGGCGGCGGCTGCCAGCGGCCTCACCCCGACCGCTGCCCACCAACAGCAGCCCCTGTCCCATCCCAGCTCGCCCAAGATCACGCCGCCCATCGCCGGATCGTCGTCTTCCAATGGAGGACGTGCCGGGGGCAGCCCACATGCGATGAGGCACCATCTGGCGGCTGTGGCCGCGGCCGCCCAACAGTCGGCAATGATAGAGAAAGCAGCTGCCGCTCCGGCCACTCATGAGCCGGCCACCCTGGACCTGACCGGATCCAACTCCAATTCGAGCAACCAGGCGCCCTCCAACGCCAGCAGTGGCCAGTCAACCACCAACCACGAGCTGAATGGAGTCGAGTCCAATGGAGCGTCGCAGGGAGAGAGCAAGGAGCAGGGTCCAGGAGCAATCAAGGAGGAATCCATGAAGAGCTCTCCACCACCGGCGGCCACCGAAAAGAAGCCGGCCACACCGAGTGCAGCCCCCGAGAAGCCACTGCACCCTGACAGCTCGCCGGAGAACTCTTCGCGACGCAGCGCCAGCCCACCCTCGGAGACCAATAGCTCGCTCCCGGCGGTTGTCAGCGGAGTCACTGCAGCAGCAGCAGTAGCAGCAGCAGCAGCAGCAGGTAAAAGCTTAGAGGAGACCCCAAAGATTCTAGAGTCGACACCGACTTCCCCCGCCACTGGTGGTCTCAAGCCAGATGCAGGCGAGAGTCTGGAGGAGAAGCAGCGCACTCGGTTGTCGGTGTCGCCGGCGCCCGGCGCCGGCCCCGGCCCCGACACCGGTACCGGTTGTGGCTACCTCGCCAGACACCGTCTCTGCATCCGGTGGGGTGACCTCCACAACGAGTGGTACCACACCGCCGCCGGTGGTCAGCAGCAGCACGAACATAACCGGCAAGGCAGGCGCCACGAGTGACGAGGTGTCCACCAGTGCCTCCTCAAAAACCGGCCCCACAGACACAGAGCAGCTGGCATCGGCCAGCAGATGATCCTCCCGCCCCGAGGGAGGCTTAGGTTTAAGTTTGAAAGTCGCCTCGGATCGGAACTAGTTATCATCTACCTTCAGTAACATTAACTAAGCGATAATTTAGTTGTTAGTCGGAGATCTTATCTTTTTATTTATACAAGAATTTGTAATGTATTGCCAACGCTGGTTAGATCCAATTCTGAATGTTTTAATCCCTAATCTTTAATCTTTAATTATTATTATTATTATTTGCCCCTATTTAAATGTGAAGCGTATACCTTTAGAGATTGCCTGAATAAATCCCTTTTGTTTAAAATTAATGTTATTATTTGCCTTTAGTTGCCGTTTTCCGTTGCCCATCCGAGCGAAGATCCGACGAAGATTCTCCAAACTAAACTACAGCCCCTCCCCCCTTCGGTGTATTGCAGATGGCGCAGACAGCAAGCCCTCATTGGGCGGACTGGGCCGCAGCAACAGCGCGGAGGAGGCCACCGCCTTATGACACCAACTCTTCAGCAACTCGAACAACTAACTAACGAAAAACTTTGGCGACATCGGAATGTATTTGCTCTCGGAACGGGCGCTCCACCAGCAGCGCAAGCGGATGCTCGACGAGTTCCTGAAGCTGTAGGAGAGCCCGGGACAGGGCGAATTTTGAATTCCGAACGGAGGAGGATACAATACGGAGACGGGCAATTGCCAACCCCAACCCCAACCCCTAGACACACACAGTAATAGCGAACAATCTAAATCCCAATAATGTATAATGTATAATTGTATAATGTATGTATAATGAATAATGGATAACAGATATCAGATATTTGTTTGTTCTCGGTGTTACAATCTAACGTTTACCCCAACCAGTTGAATACAATTCTACAGCAATAGGAAGGACATTTTCGATATGTGTAAAGAGAATCTCTGCGAGTAATCTTTGCATAAAATGTAACATATTGTGAAATACATACTCGATATTGAAAGAATTAACATTATAAGATCTTTTAGGCACCTTGCATAGAACTCTGAGTGTAGTCTTTGTGTGTGGAACATGTTCACGGCGGCCCCTGTGCTCGTTACCGATAGTTGTAAAAATTTAGACTAAACCTCTGTTAAGAAATTTATATATACATATATACATACATACATGCATACAAGCAGAAACAAGAGCAGGAACGTAAGCGGAAATGGAAGTGGGAGCAGAAGCAGAAACTGAAACAGAATTATAAAAAAACAAACTGAGTAGCTATAATTTATTCTTAAATTGCTAATAATTGTGATTTGGAGAGTACGAAAAATGAAAAACGTATGGAATATGTGTAACTCGAATACAAAGTGGGGGAAAAAAAAACGGAACTGAAATTTAGATAACAAATCAAATACTAAAATGGGATAATCTGGAAGGGATGAGTAGGATGAGCAGCGAAAGGCTTAAATTATTTTTCGAAATTGATCAACTTTTGTATGTAACCCTTTGGTCCTTAGCGTTTATTATTATGATTATTTCGAATAATTTTGTACACAATACACAAGATAGCAAAGAGGATACGTGGATACGAGAGGTGTCCCTCCAAAGAGAGGCGTACTTCTTAACCACACTGTAATTGATGTTTATAGTAAGTAGCTAATGGCATAAACCCTAACCGAATGTCTCGAGGGGATCTATACCTATCAAAATAGTTTTTGTTCCGTTTTCCAATCTTTGCCCAAAGTGTTTTTGCGTTTGAGATTGCCTATAAATTTGAAGATGATATGTGACGTATAGATTTTTATTATGTTTTAATGCATGAATCTCGAGCAATCTGTGATATTATAACATGAAAAAAAGACAAAAAAAAAACCAAACCAAACAAACAAAAACTCAACATATTATTGCGGATGAGCCTCAATCTGCAGTCTTTTGAGAGCCAACACTCGATATTCAGATCAAGTTTTCGAAGCAGGGTGTACACCGAACTGCAGTGAGCGGGACTGGACTCCACTCCACCAGACCCACGGATGGAGACACGACACAGCCACAGCCAAAGACACCGACATGTTCCGAGCACAATTCCTTACCAATTCTGCCATATGCAAGTCGATTTTTCCTTTGACAAAACTATGTGTATGTACCAGTAAAACTGAAAGTGAATATATTTTAGTAAACTAATCGTAATAGATTCTTGGATAATATACAGATAACTGATATCGATCGATTGGCGTGCATCTAATAACTTAATCCACAAATGCCATGCGATAGCTAATCAATTAAAGCAAAATAGTTTCAAATACAACCTAAACAATAACAAAACAAAAACAAAACAAATGAAAACAAAAACCAAATAAAATTAAATGTACTGTACTTCTCCCTCAATCTTCGTTGTGTGTGTAAACAGAATACAAAGTGTAAAACATTAAATTGTAAGCTAACCGAATCGCAATCAAAATCTAAAACCAAATACACAAACTACGGACAACAGAATACCAAAACAGATAATACAGCATCATACTTTGAGACCACAGCAACCGAAACGTTGACCATTGACCCTATCGTTGATAGCAGATGAACGAGAACGAAAGCAAGTACAACAGCAGTTCTGGAATACCCGCTACTATACTTTCATTTAAACACACAAAAGGATCAGAACTTTCAAATCAAAAGTACATATACCACTCAATCTCTAAATGCAATTCCAAATCATCGTACTTATGGGTATAATATATACTTCATATACATATGTATGTGGACACTTTCTTCCCACAATTCCACAAGAGTAGCGGGTGTAGCCAGCAACAAACATTCAAACTACAAAAACAGCGCACCAGTATAAATACAGCGTTCAACCATGTGGCAAACGATATGCGAAACCAACAATTAAACAATCTTGTGCAACATTACCTAAGGCATTTATGATTTTATGAAATAAACTGTATGTAAGCATTCAATTGATTTGCTGTGCTTTTCCTTGAAATGACCGCTCTAAGGATTCCCCTCGCTGACCTCAATTAGCGGCCGATCTGGGCGTGGTGTATCTTTTCCTGATCGGGATAGTCCGAAAAGCCCGAAAACCGAAGGGTCTTATATAATTCGTAAGTTTATTAACACATAATTAACTATTAGCCTCTACTGTGCTCTGCCTTGGCCAAGTCAGCCTTTTTCACGTACTTCATTATCCTCACTATTGTAGAGGGGGTTACGCCTTGGATCCGACTGGCAGCAGCGATGGTCTGTGGCTGAATGAGGCTCAGTTTCTGTCGCTCCTCGTTCGAGAGGCTCAGCACCTTGGAAAAGTAATCAATGTCAGCGGGAATGGCCAGACGCTCTTCCCGTCGTACATCCTCCACGTCCCGTTGTTGTTCCTCAACAAAGAACGAGTACAGGGCCTCTATCTTCAGCCTCTCGGCCAGGTTGTTGTCGTCGCGCAGCCAAGTCAGTTCCGTCGGGAATAGATTGATGAGCTTATCCACCGTGATGTTGTCAGCTGGTATGGCAAGCATGTCAAAGGCGGTTTTTTCCACAGAGGCTTTGGATGTGGGTAGGTCCAGAGACTGGCGCCAGTAATTGCTGTGCTTTCGAAGTTTCCTTAAAGCCTCCATGCCCGACTGTAGTCTTTCTTCCGCTTGCTTAAAGTGCCGGAAGCGATGCTCGGAGACGAGCCCATATTCATAGCCCTTATTGGTGAGCCGCATGTCGGCGTTGTCAGGCCGAAGGGATAGTCGGAACTCTGCCCGACTAGTGAACATGCGGTAGGGCTCATTGGTGCCCAACGAAGTTAGGTCGTCCACTAGTACACCGATGTAGCCTTCAGTTCGACTAATTGTCAGCTGCCTTCCATCTGCGTGGCGAGTTTTGCCCGCCGCATTAGCACCAGCCACAATTCCCTGGGCAGCTGCCTCCTCGTAGCCCGTGGTTCCATTTATCTGCCCCGCAAAGAAGAGACCAGGCAGACGCTTTGTCTCCAGCGTGGGGAACAGTTCACGGGGATCTATGAAATCGTACTCCACACCGTAGCCGGGTTGCACCACCTCGGCATGCTCCAGACCCTTGATGGCGTGAACCAGCTGCACTTGCTGCTCATGGGGCAATGTACACGAAATTCCCTGTGGATACACCAAGGGACTATCCAGGCCTTCCGGCTCTAGCCATACTTGATGAACTCTTGCGCCAAATCGTAGAATTTTCGACTCTATTGAAGGGCAATAGCGAGGGCCTGTTATCTCCTCGGTAACGTGCCGATTTACGTGCAGATTATTCCGCACAATGTCGTTGACCAACGGCGTCGTGTAGGTGAGATGGCAGGGCAACTGCTCCTGGGCTGGTAGCCACACATGGCTATTGAGAAATGAAAATGGCATCGGGGGATCATCTCCCTCGTGTCTCTCTAGTTGGGAGAAGTCGACGCTGCTCTTAGCTATCCTGGGCGGCGTTCCTGTCTTTAGGCGCCCCATGCGGAAGCCCAGTCTGTCTATGGCCTCACCCAAGGCCTTTGCTGGAGCATCTCCCATACGTCCAGCCGGCCTCACCTCCAGTCCAATGTTGATGTGTGCCCTTAAGAATGTTCCGGTTGTGAGCACAACCGAATGACTGCGCACCACTTCTCCATTGGCCAATACAACACCTGTGCAACGTCTGTGCTGGTGCTGCTCATCTTCTATGAGGATATTGTCCACAGCCGCCGCTCTGATCTCTAGGTTTTGCGTGCTATGAAGTTCCTTCTGGACAGCTCTCTTGTACAGCTGCCGATCGATCTGTGCCCGCGGTCCCCACACCGCTGGCCCGCGTCGCTTGTTGAGCACTTTGTAGTGCACTCCAGACACGTCGCAGCATCGCCCACAGACTCCGTCCAGAGCATCGACCTCTCGCATCAAGTGGCCCTTTCCAATGCCTCCGAACGAAGGATTGCAGGACATCTCGCCAATGGTCTCCAGCTTGTGTGTCAGCAGCAACGTGCGTGCACCCATCCGAGCCGCGGCTGCACACGCCTCTGTGCCGGCATGGCCTCCGCCAATGACAACCACATCGTAGATATCGCTGCTGGCATTGTGTGCGTGTCTCGACTGGTGGCGACTCCGAGCCAAGCCACGGATCACACACTTCCGCAACTGTTGCATTTAAAAAACTAAATTAATTTGGAAGCAACAACAACAAATATAATTGCACAACACATGGCGCATGTAGTGGGTGTATCGATAGTGGCCTGCGCCATATCGATAAGAGCACTCGATAGAACGCCGCCAAATTCAATTTCAAATGGAAAAACAAGCTTGAGGTTGGCAATTCTGATTTATTTTTTCTCTACTTAGATTAGCTACTTAAATTAGGCAACGGCCGACTAACTAATTAAAATCCGTCCATTTCAGCTTTCCTCTTGCGCTTTTTCAACTTCTGCTTGGTGTCTGGCGCCTTGCCACGAATCACCGCTGCCTTCAGACGCTTCGCAGCCTTCTTGCGCTCTTGCACTCCTGCCTTGCGTTTGGCCGCACGCTCTGGATCATGGACCTTCTCCTGGGCAACGGCCTTGCGCCGCTCAGCCCGTCGCACCATCAGCTTGGTTTGCACCACATTGCGAAGTTTGTCGTAGATATCCGCTCCAATCCGCTTTCGCAGCCGACTGCCGACGCGTAGCGCTAGCTGACGCAGTTCCGCATCGACGTTCTGATCCTCCTCTGACATCTCGCGCACCAGTGACTGGAGCAGGGCGGGAGCCAGCCGAGTCACCGCCTCCACACTGAGCAACGTGCTGAGGGCCTCGATAAGCGTGAACATGGCAGTGCGCTGTGACAAGAAAACGTTAAAAAAGGTTTGCAAAAGGAAAGATTGTGCTGTACGTACTGTGCTGGTGTCGTGTGGTGCCTGGGTCACTTCCTTGTTCACCAGGAAGCGGATGTTTCGCACCAGCCAATTGAGGTTGATTTTGTTAGCCGGGCCTCGCTCCTGTTCCTCCTGCGCTTCCGAGTCCTTCTCCTGCTTGAGACTGAATGGGACATCCCTCAGCATGTGCCCCACGTACAGCATGATCTTGGACAGTTCGTCAATCATTTCCTGTGCCGTCTCGCCGGGCGTGACCTGGGCACACAGGTCCAGTACCAGGGACTTGATATCCTGGGCAGGTTGGGCGTAAACAAAGTCCAGGTGCTTCGCTTCTCCATCCTCTCGCTTGACGCCCACCAGCTGTTGGCCCACATAGGCGTAGTCGTAGTGAGCTAAGAGGTGTGTCAGCAGCTTGGCCGCATTGCAGCGCACCCAGTTGTGTTCGTGGCCCAAGTGCCGCTGGCAGCCGTACGCCAGTTGATCAACGGTGTCGGAAATCTCCTTGTCGGCCAGCATCGCCTCCCCGCAATGCTCCATGATCTTCAGCAGGCAGTACTGCAGCTGGATGATCTGATGGTCTGCGCTTCGTTGCTGATGCTCCAGTCGCGTCTCAGTGTCCAGGCCGGCCAGCAGCAGCTCCTCGTCGGGAGTCGCATGAGAATGCTAAAATATATATATAAAGAAAGCCCTGTAGCAGACTAAAGAAATCAAAAGAGAGCAGAAATCTATCGTACCTTTCGCCTTCTCTTCTTCTGCAATTGGTCTTCGTCCACCTCCGATGCCAGATTTCCCGGAGCACGCACATATCGACCGCATGCTTCCGCATCGCCCAGCGTCAGGATATTAACCAATGTGGGCAGCACCAGGGGCAGTCTCTCCGCAAATCCAGCCCGCTCCGCCTGCACAAACCTCGAGAGGAGTGCGGCCGCCATTTCGCGGACACCCGGCTTCTGGCTGGACTGCTGCGACGTGAAGAACAGCAAAGTGAGATCCAGAAGTGGCTGCCGCTCCAGCTTGGTTAGGCGCCCAATCAGCGCCTCCAGAGCAGCGGCCACACTGCGACGACAGGAGGGATCCTCATCGTTGACCAATCGCGTGCCCAGCGAGAGGAACAGGAACTCCGATTGCTTGGCGAGTAGCTGAAGGGGAAACTTGTTGATGATGGAGTGCATGAACTGGATGGCCGACTGTCGGCCGGCTATCTGGGTGTAGCACAGCTGGACGGACATGAACTTGACCAGCTGATCCACACGCTTCTGCAGCGTGTACTCCATGATGTAGGTAAGCAGGATGCCGCGGGCCTCGTCGCGCACGTAGTCCGACTGCGATATGATGGACAGATCGCATAGACGCTTCATCAGATCGTGCAGCGAGCGAGTGTCCACCTTGCGGCCCACCAGAGCCTTGAGCAGAGTGAAGCACATGGTCTGGCTGCTGCACTCGCCCTCCTGCAACTCCTGTTCGATTTGCAGCAGCAGCTGTTCGATCTGCTCATCGCTTAGCTGGTAGTCCTGGCATTTGCGGAGCAACGCCACCACCGCCTTGAAGCTGCCTCGCACCAGCTGGGCGTTCTCCTCCTGCCGCGTGGCCCCAAAGCTGGAGAAATTCTTCAAGATCTCAAACATTCGTGTCACCACTGGCTGCAGCTGCTCGGCGTCCAGCTCCGAAAGCTCGTACTCCCCAATCCAAATGGCCGTGTAACACTTCAAGGCATAGGTGGTGGTCCTCACATGGTTGCTGCTTAGCGCGTCCCTCAGCAGGGGCAGCATGGGGTGCAGAAAGGGCTGGTAGTCCAGCTCCGAGAGTTTCTTTCGCTTCAGCACAAAGTGAAGCAGCTCCAGTCCGAACTCCACCAGTATGTGGGCATTGGCCTGGGCATTGGACTTGACCAGCTTGTTGCCCGTGGCCACACTGCGTCGACCCGGTGCCGGCTGCAGGATGAGGCAGTCGGGACGAGCGCGTTTGATCAGCGCCTGCTCCTTGGCGGTCAGCTGCCGCTTCTGGGTGCCCGGCAGCAGGTCGCTGATGCTCTCCGACATCGTTCCGTAGATGAAAATCAACAGACTCTCCCTGGCTATGTGCGAGTTGTCCACCAGGCCGGCCACAATCTTGGCAAAGCACTCCTGTATCTTCTGGGTGACCTTGCGGGAGTGCGACCTGATCAGATGCTCCTTGAAGGGCAGCAGCAGGTCCAGCAGACAGTTGTCTCGGATGTGCTTGGCGGCTATGTGAAGGGTGAGGTAGCTCTTGGCGCTCGGCTTGGCCTCGGGCGTGTGCGACACAATCTTCTCCACCTCCTTCTCGGCGCTCACATCTCCGAAGATGTCGTTCAGGGCAACCTCAAGCAGGTTATGCAGACAGCTCTCAATGTGCTCCGGCTTCAGCTCGCCTCGGAGCGCGTCCAGAACTCCGTGCAGGGTCACGGAGAGGACGTGCACCTGGAAGCCGCGAGTGAGCAGCGACTGCAGCTGCTCGAGGAGCATGCCCACGTAGCTGCCACCCAGCGTGATCATAATCTTCTTGAGAATGTCGCGGGTCAGCATCCGCACGGACTTCAGGGGGGAGCGCAGGAAGGTGCAGACCTTCATGAAGATTCCTGTGGAGAAGAGTCGTTAGGGGGGGAGGTTAGTGTCTGCTGTCAGAATCTACCCACCTGGCAGGCTGTTCTCCAGCAGTTCGACGGGCAGTTTCTGGAGCAGCTTCACCATGGCCAGGGCAATGGGCACGCGCTGAATCTCCTCCTCCTCGCGCTCGTGGCTCAGCCGGCGGCGGTTCACCTTATGCTTGGCGTCGTAGTTGGTCTTCTCAGTGATGGACCGGTTGAGGGTGGGCAGCAGCACAGTGGTAATGGTGGACATGACGCGCTTGGCTGCGTTGGGGGCCAGGAGCTGGTTACGCTGATGCAGCACCACCGCCTCCACTGGTTCGGCCGCTTCCTCTCCCTCGAAATCGATGAAGTCCTGCAGCTCCTCCTTTGGCGCCTTCTCTTCTCCCTCCTCTTCTTCCGCCTCCACTTGGGGTTTCTTTTCCTCCGCTGCTGCTGCTTCAGTCAGCTTCTGCTTGAGGCTGACGAGCGTGGCCAGATCAGCCTCTGCCTGCGTCAGATCGAAGTGGAAGGCATCCAAAATACGGACCACCAGGCGGACGCACTGCTTCTGCTGGGCGTGGGAGAATCGCAGCTTCTGCAGGTAGTAGCGAAGCACGGCATGGTACTGCGTCCAGGGCAGCAGCTCGCTCATCACGCCCACCGCCTCGATGGCGGCGTCCACCAGCGTGTGCTTGCCCGTGTGCCGCTCGTTGAGAAGGTATCGTGTGGCCAGCGGCAGAAGGAACTGGGTCAGGGTGCGGGCACAGGGCGGCGCCTGTCGCCAACTGCCGCCGGAGATGTTGACGATCCGCTGCAATGCTCGACCATGTCGCTGGGTCTGCAAATGCAGCATATTCTCGAAGAAGTCCACCTCCAAGTCGTGCTTATCAGCCAGGGGCGCGAGATCGCGAAAGATCTCGTGTGCTGCGGGACAGTGGCGAGCAAGTTCGCCCAGCAAGCCAATGGCTTCGCTTCGCGCGTGCTCGTGCTTCTCGTCCTTCAGAGAGCGCTGCAGCAGTGGCAGCAATGTGTCCTCCAGCCAGAACTGCACATCCTCCTTGGCCTCCAGCTGGAGCGTGAGCAGCGGGAGCAGGGCCTTGAGCAGCTCACCTACGTTGACCCTAATGCCCAGATCGGAGACGTGGCGCAACATGTAGAAGCAGTTGTAGACCACCAGCACTCCCAGCTGCAGATCGATCTTTTGGTCCTTCTTCTCCACCAGCTGCTTCAGTTCTGAGAGCCCCTCTAGCCTCTTGTCGTAGTCGGGCTGCTCCAGCCAGCGCTTGTCCCAGGCATTCAGCAGCAGGACAATCCTCGCCCACTCCCGCAGCGACGACGCAGTGGCGGAGAGCTCTGGGTTCTGCTTGGCTTCCTTGTGCAGCCGCTTTGCCATGTCCGCCAGCAAGTCACAGAGCAGCTTCCTGGCGGGCAGGACGTGCACCTGCTCAAAGAGCGGTGCCAGTTGCCGCACATAGTCCTGCGGTCTGGGCACACGCTGGCTGAGATTGGAGAGCGTGGTGATCAGCTGGACGACGGTCTCGGGCCCAGCGGAAGCCGACTGCTTGGTAAATATTGGCAGGACGAGTGTCAGCAGCAGCTCGCAGGTGGCCGGCTCCTGCACGTGCGACGTTATCAGCGTCAGAATGTTGAGTTCCCGCTTGTCCAGCATCTGTCTGCCGGCCTTCCGGTGGCGCCAGTTGGTCTGAAGCTGCTGCAGAATGGCCGGGATGTGGGGATGGATAATGGCCAAGGCCTCGACACCATATTCCTCGGTGGCAGCCGCCTCCAGCAGCTGCTCTACCAGCTGTAGCAGTGAACGCTTCACCACCGGCTTGGCCTTGTCGTTGAGCAGCAATGCCATCAGCTGATCCATTATGGCCGGCTCACCCGCAGAGGGACTCTGGTTGAGCCACCTCTGGTATCGAGGCTCTCCGCCCCAGAGGAGCAGCAGCTTCAGCAGAGGCGTGGGCGTGTGTATGGAGTCGTGTGGCAGTCGCGCGAGTCCTGGCCAGACGTACACCTCGCATATGGCGCTTATCTCCTGCTCCTGCCATAACTCCTCCATATCGACCAGTTGGCCAAAGTAATTGCCCAGTGTCTGCAATCCCGAGTGCTTCACGTTCTTGTAGGCAGTCGCCAGCTTTCCTTGGCCGTTCACCACCTCCTGGGAGACGCTTCCGACAAGCAGCAGCAACTTGAGAACATAGACCTGAAAATCAGCGGTGAGTCGACCAGCGAATTCCTTGCGTATCAGCTCCAGAAGATTGACAATCCGCTGCAACTGCTTGGCCGCAATCACTGCCGAGGAATCGTACGAGCTCTGGACATAGCGGGGTAACTCCTCTATGGGCTTGTCTGTGTATTCGGCGAAGCGTCCGAAGGCCATTTGTAGAAATTCTATGATCTCCGACTCCTCCAGCTGTCCCAGGAATCTCAGGATCAGTGTCTTCCGCTGCTGGGCACTCAGCTGCTTTTGGACGCCCTTCGTTAGCATCTTGCCGTAGAGCACGCGCAGCATGAAGGGCATCAGCTGGGATCTCTGCTCCGCGGGAATGCTGGCCAACTCGAAGCCACTCAGCGTCGTCTTGAACTTTGCCTCATCGATCAGTCCCGCCAGCTGAGCCTTTTGCTGCACCAGAGCCACCGGGTGCTTGTAGGCGGCCAGGCAGTCGAGCGCCAGCTGCTGCAGCTGGGCATTGGGCCCAGCCAACAGCTCCAGATAGAAGGCATGCATCTCCGCCTGTCGGTGCAGGGCCTTGGGGTTCGGCTGCGACACGAAGCATGCCAGCTTCAGCTGCAGAGTTTGGAGTATGAACTTGGCATGGACATTGTGTGTTCTTCGCTTCTGGCGGGATCGGACTCCGCTCGGCGCTTCATTCTCCTCATCCTCGTCGGCTTCAACGTCTTCCGCTGCAGAGCACGAAAGAGACGATTATTTGATGGATGATTCAATAAACCGGTGCACATACCTGTGGCTTCGTTGACGTTCCACGTATGCTCTGTCCTCTCCAGCTGGGCTCGGTACTCCTGCTCGACGAACTGCAGGAACAGTCGCACCACATCTGCGTTCTTCACCTCGGCCAGAGCGCCCAGCTTGGGCAGGCACTGCCACAGAAGTTGGCGATAGTTGAGCGCCTGCTGCAAACTCAGTTGCTGCTCCCCAGCCTCGGGCAGGAGCATGGTCAGGGCAGCCGACACATAGTCTGCCCGATGCGGCTGTTGTAGTAGGCTGGTTGAGTTCACCTCGTAGTCTATGCAGGCGACTGTCTCGAGGAGCTTCGCCTTGAAAAGGTTCCAGAACTCGTCCGTTCCCGTTACCTTCACGTAGGCGGCCAGCAGCTGCTGCACCGGGGCCCACACAAACTTAAAGTTGTTGTAGAGCAGACCGAGGAGCAGGCTCACCGCATGCTCCTTGAAATGGGGCAGCTGGGAGTACTGCTTGAACTGAGCGGATGCCGGCTCCAGTTGCTGCAGTTCGAGGAGCAGCTCTCGGTAGTTGTGCACCGTGGGCTCCACGCAGGAAGCGGCGTAGAAGTGCGAGTAGGGATTGCACTTGCTGCCAGAGTTTAGCAGATCCAGGCAGTGGGACGCTATGCGCCTGTATTGCGCCTGGGGCTGGCTGAGCAGCGTGGAGATGGCAGTCAGTAGTTCCGTGGAGGCGGAGAGCTCTTTCGTTGGTGTTTCCAGCAAAAGCAGCTGCAGACAGGCCACGGCTCGGATGTCTTTGGTCAGTTCTGGTGTTAGGAACGCATACAGTTTGGAGGCAAGTGCAGCGGGAAGCTTGAACTTGAGCAGAGCATGGGTCTGCAGCAGCAGCAGCAGTAGAGTGTAGTCCGAGTTGGGGCTCGCCAGGCGATCTTCAATGTTCGAGTGGAGGGTCTTCTCCAAAGGCTGCTTGCTGAATCCACGCAGATGGGGAACCAACAGCAGAAGCAGTAGGTGCTCCTCTGTTGCCACATCCAAGGTCAGGAGTTGCTGCTCCAAGCTTTTGATGGTCTCTTTCTGCTTCAGCTGCAGGGGATATACCGTCCATTGCGCCACGGATGTTGCGTCCACTTGCAGCGGCCTCTTGTGCTGGACAATGCGAGCCAGTAGCTCCAAGGCTCTTGTCTGTCGCTCCTCCTCGTAGTAGCTGATGACGTGCGGCAGGACCAAAATCTCAAATTGCTGATAGTCCAGCAGCTGCAGAATGGAGTCCTCATACACGTCCTCGGATTTTCTGCTTATGGCCAACAGTTTCTGCAGCAAGCGACTGGCATCCAGCTGCGCCAGCTGCGTGTGCTGGGCCTTGAGCAGGCTGGTGACCAGGGTCGTTAGGGGCTGCAGGGGTTCCACGCTCCGCTCAAGCAAATTCAGCAGTGTGGGCACCACGATGGACAGCTCGGCCACATAGCGCCCATCCTTGTGCCTGACCAAGGGCAGCATCAAGTCAATCAGTCGCGCAGCGTCTACGCCCTCGCGGCTTGCTGCGGAGCAGAGCTGTTGCCAGAGCACGCTGCTCTGATCGGGGCGAAGGAAGCTTAAGAGCAGTCCCAGCGAATACTCCACAATGTCGCCCAAGAGCTCGGCCTGGGCCGTTGTGTTGTTGATGTCATCCCGGCTGACGAGCACCTCCAGAACATGGGCAAAGATATCGGCAGCCGAGTTGTGCAGCTGTCCGTTAACGCCTCGAAGTATCTCGTAGATCAGCCTGCCACAGCCATGGACACTCTCCACCTGCTCCCGTAGCACTGTCTTCAGCACGTAGGCCAGAAAGCGGGGAAAGTCTCGTACATCTCGGGCTATGTACGCAAAGCATTCCACAGCAAAGTTGATGACATGCTCAGCGTAGTGCTGCTCGTCCAGGAGTGGCAGAATCGCATTGAAAACAATGCCAATGTTCCGCTTCAAGTAGGGCTTCAGAGTCTTGAATAGATGAGCCAGGCAAATCAGTGTCCACTCCAGCTGCTCGGCATCCTGGGTGTTGAGCAGGCAGATGAGGCGGTCCAGCACACGTTGGAAGTAGGGATAGAATTCCTCGCGCAGGTCACGTGCCAGTACATAGAGAAGTTCCAGCAGAGGCTGCTGCGACAGATTCGTGGCTGTGGAGAGTCGCTCCAGCAGCAGATCGACCACAACATCCTTCTGATGCAACAGCTGCGGCAGGGTGACAATCTTCCTGCATCGCTTGCTGAAATAGTTGTACTCCTCCGTGAGGTTGAGGACATTCCATTTCTGAAGTGTCTGCTGGAAATAAGTCTCGTCCTCCTCCTCGTCGAGCTCCTCGTTCCTGTGCCCAATGTGGTACAGGGCCAAGTGGCGCAAGTCGATTTCATTTACGCGATCTCCAAACGACTTGAACTACAGGCAAAAGTGCAAAAATGTGAGCCGCTGCGGACCATGTGAGACTTCTCTGGCCACTTACCCGAAATGTGTTTGTGTCTTTCGACTTCTCTGTTATGGCTGCCATACTGTTATTGCTTGTATAAACTTACAGATCACTTCATCTATCTTAAACTGGATTAATTATGCGCTAAAAACAAAATTTTGTTTGGAAACATTCAAATACACGTGCAAGGCAGTGTGACCGTGAATTTATCGATGAAATATACCACCTGACCCACAGAAAAATACCGAAAAATACCTTGCATAGATAAATGCGGCATTTCGCCGCAAAGAAAAGTACCGTAATCGGTCAACGTGGTCACTAACGTGGTCAGCGAGCAATTATAATTATTCGTTTTATATCAGTCAGCTTTTGTCAGAGAGCAATTCAAATTTTTCGTTTCATATCAGTCAGCTCTTGTCAATAAGCAATAAAAACATTAATTTGGTTTATTTTAATTTTTATTTCATATTTACGTTTAGTTTTACATTTTTTCTACATTGTTACATATTTCCTAAATTATTAAATTTTTTTAATTCCTAAATTTTTACATTTTTCTATGCTTACAATCAAATATTTTGAAGTGTTGCACGTACACCATAGAAATCAGCAGAAGGTTCCTGGTTTTTTTAATTCTCTTTTTTTCTTGTTTCTCTTTGTCTTTCGTTGCTCTCATTTTTCGCTCTCATTTTTCTCATTTTTTGCCTCCACTTTCCACCGCTCAAATGGCAGAAAACCGTTAAATTCAAATCTGACATACCAGGCGCACAGAAATCAGCAAAAGGTCGCTGCTTTTTTAAATTCTCTTTTTTTCTTCTTTCTGTTTTTCTTTCGTTGCTCTCCTTTTTCGCTCTCATTTTTCTCATTTTCTGCCTCCACTTTCCACCGCTCAAATGGCAGAAAACCGTTAAATTCAAATCTGAGATACCAGGCGCACAGAAATCAGCAGAAGGTCGCTGATTTTTTAAATTCTCTTTTTTTCTTGTTTCTCTTTGTCTTTCGTTGCTCTCTTTTTTCGATATAATTTCTCTCATTTTCTGCCTCCACTTTCCACCGCTCAAATAGCAGAAAACCGTTAAATTCAAATCTGAGATACCAGGCGCACAGAAATCAGCAGAAGGTCGCTGATTTTTTAAATTCTCTTTTTTTTCTTGTTTCTTTTTGTCTTTCGTTGCTCTCTTTTTTCGATATAATTTCTCTCATTTTCTGCCTCCACTTTCCACCGCTCAAATAGCAGAAAACCGTTAAATTCAAATCTGAGATACCAGGCGCACAGAAATCAGCAGAAGGTCGCTGATTTTTTTTAATTCTCTCTTTTTCATGTTTCTCTTTGTATTTCGTTGCTCTCCTTTTTCGCTCTCATTTTTCTCATTTTTTGCCTCCACTTTCCACCGCTCAAATGGCAGAAAACCGTTAAATTCAAATCTGAGATACCAGGCGCACAGAAATCAGCAAAAGGTCGCTGCTTTTTTAAATTCTCTTTTGTTCTTGTTTCTCTTTTCTTTCGTTGCTCTCTTTTTTCGCTCTCATTTTTCTCATTTTCTGCCTCCACTTTCCACCGCTCAAATGGCAGAAAACCGTTAAATTCAAATCTGAGATACCAGGCGCACAGAAATCAGCAGAAGGTCGCTGATTTTTTTTAATTCTCTTTTTTTCTTGTTTCTCTTTGTATTTCGTTGCTCTCTTTTTTCGCTCTCATTTTTCTCATTTTCTGCCTCCACTTTCCACCGCTCAAATGGCAGAAAACCGATAAATTCAAATCTGAGATACCAGGCGCACAGAAATCAGCAGAAGGTCGCTGATTTTTTTTAATTCTCTTTTTTTCTTGTTTCTCTTTGTCTTTCGTTGCTCTCCTTTTTCGCTCTCATTTTTTTCATTTTCTGCCTCCACTTTCCACCGCTCAAATGGCAGAAAACCGTTAAATTCAAATCTGAGATACCAGGCGCACAGAAATCAGCAGAAGGTCGCTGGTTTTTTTAAATTCTCTTTTTTTCTTGTTTCTTTTTGTCTTTCGTTGCTCTCTTTTTTCTATCATTTCTCTCATTTTCTGCCTCCACTTTCCACCGCTCAAATGGCAGAAAACCGTTAAATTCAAATCTGAGATACCAGGCGCACAGAAATCAGCAGAAGGTCGCTGATTTTTTTTAAATTCTCTTTTTTCTTGTTTCTCTTTGTATTTCGTTGCTCTCCTTTTTCGCTCTCATTTTTCTCATTTTCTGCCTCCACTTTCCACCGCTCAAATGGCAGAAAACCGTTAAATTCAAATCTGAGATACCAGGCGCACAGAAATCAGCAGAAGGTCGCTGATTTTTTAAATTCTCTTTTTTTCTTGTTTCTCTTTGTCTTTCGTTGCTCTCCTTTTTCGCTCTCATTTTTCTCATTTTCTGCCTCCACTTTCCACCGCTCAAATGGCAGAAAACGGATAAATTCAAATCTGAGATACCAGGCGCACAGAAATCGGCAGAAGGTCGCTGATTTTTTTAATTCTCTTTTGTTCTTGTTTCTCTTTGTATTTCGTTGCTCTCTTTTTTCGCTCTCATTTTTCTCATTTTCTTCCTCCACTTTCCACCGCTCAAATGGCAGAAAACCGTTAAATTCAAATCTCAGATACCAGGCGCACAGAAATCAGCAGAAGGTCGTTGATTTTTTAAATTCTCTTTTTTTCTTGTTTCTCTTTGTCTTTCGTTGTTCTCTTTTTACGCTCTCATTTTTCTCATTTTCTGCCTCCACTTTCCACCGCCCAAATGGCAGAAAACCGTTAAATTCAAATCTCAGATACCAGGCGCACAGAAATCAGCAGAGGGTCGCTGATTTTTTAAATTCTCTTTTTTTCTTGTTTCTCTTTGTCTTTCGTTGCTCTCCTTTTTTGCTCTCATTTTTCTCATTTTCTGCCTCCACTTTCCACCGCTCAAATGGCAGAAAACCGTTAAATTCAAATCTGAGATACCAGGCGCACAGAAATCAGCAGAAGGTCGCTGATTTCTTTTAATTCTCTTTTTTTCTTGTTTCTCTTTGTCTTTCGTTGCTCTCCTTTTTTCGCCCATTTTTCACATTTTCTGCCTCCACTTTCCATCCCAAATTGGCAGAAAACCGTGTAAGTGTAAAACTCAGAGAGGAAATTTTCCACCCCATAAAGTACAGATAATCAGCATGAAGGTCGCTAGATTTTTTTGTCTGTCCGTCTGTCTGTTGTCTGTCTTGTATTTCTGTCTGTCTTTTTGCTCTGTTTTTCTCATTTCTGCCTCCACTTCCACCGCTCAAATGGCAGAGACTATAATTGAGATACCGGGCAAAAACAAAGTGCTGATTTCTAAACCTCATGTCTGATATCCCGTTGCTCTCCTTTTCGCTATTTTTCAAAATTTCTGCCCCACTCCCACCCCAAATGAACGAAAATCTGTTGAAGGCAGATATTAAAGATACAGAAATCAGCAAAAGGTCGCTATTTTTTTAAATTCTCTTTTGATTGCCGATTTGACTCAGTATTCGGATCATAATTATAGCTCATATTGAAGAAATAATTTTCTGGCCTCCCCTCTCCAGCGCGCCCAATGGCTAGAAAACCGTTAAATTCAATCTCAGACTGCCGCGTTCAGTGCGCGAGAAATCCTAGCAGAAGGTCGCTGAATATAAATTCTCTTGTACAATCTACTTTGTATATGTGGCAATTTGCTTCATTTTCACATTTTCTGCCCACTTGCAAAAAAACGCTAAAATGTAAAATTTTTTTTTTTTAAATGCTAATAAATCATTAGCTCAAAAATGATATACAGACAGAAGGTGCTGATATTTTTAATTCTTGTTCCCAAGCTACTCTTGTCTTTCGTTCTCTCTTTTTTCGCTCTCATTTTTCTCATTTTCTGCCTCCACTTTCCACCACTCAAATGGCAGAAAACCGATAAATTCAAATCTGACATACCAGGCGCACAGAAATCAGCAGAAGGTCGCTGGTTTTTTTAAATTTTCTTTTTTTCTTGTTTCTCTTTTTGTATTTCGTGCTCTCTTTTTTCGATCTCATTTCTCTCATTTTCTGCCTCCACTTTCCACCGCTCAAATGGCAGAAAACCGTTAAATTCAAATCTGAGATACCAGGCGCACAGAAATCAGCAGAAGGTCGCTGATTTTTTTTAATTCTCTTTTTTTCTTGTTTTTCTTTGTCTTTCGTTGCTCTCCTTTTTCGCTCTCATTTTTTTCATTTTCTGCCTCCACTTTCCACCGCTCAAATGGCAGAAAACCGTTAAATTCAAATCTGAGATACCAGGCGCACAGAAATCAGCAGAAGGTCGCTGGTTTTTTTAAATTCTCTTTTTTTCTTGTTTCTTTTTGTATTTCGGGGCTCTCTTTTTTCGATATAATTTCTCTCATTTTCTGCCTCCACTTTCCACCGCTCAAATGGCAGAAAACCGTTAAATTCAAATCTGAGATACCAGGCGCACAGAAATCAGCAGAAAGTCGCTGATTTTTTTAAATTCTCTTTTTTTCATGTTTCTCTTTGTATTTCGTTGCTCTCTTTTTTCGCTCTCATTTTTTTCATTTTCTGCCTCCACTTTCCACCGCTCAAATGGCAGAAAACCATTCAAATCTGAGATACCAGGCGCACAGAAATCAGCAGAAGGTCGCTGATTTTTTAATTCTCTTTTTTTATTGTTTCTCTTGTATTTCGTTGCTCTCTTTTTTCGCTCTCATTTTTTTCATTTTCTGCCTCCACTTTCCACCGCTCAAATGGCAGAAAACCGTTAAACTCAAATCTGAGATACCAGGCGCACAGAAATCAGCAGAAGGTCGCTGATTTTTTTAATTCTCTTTTTTTCATGTTTCTCTTTGTATTTCGTTGCTCTCCTTTTTCGCTCTCATTTTTCTCATTTTCTGCCTCCACTTTTCACCGCTCAAATGGCTGAAAACCGTTAAATTCAAATCTGAGATACCAGGCGCACAGAAATCAGCAGAAAGTCGCTGATTTTTTTTAATTCTTTCTTTTTCATGTTTCTCTTTGTATTTCGTTGCTCTCTTTTTTCGCTCTCATTTTTTTCATTTTCTGCCTCCACTTTTCACCGCTCAAATGGCAGAAAACCGTTAAATTCAAATCTGAGATACCAGGCGCACAGAAATAAGCAGAAGGTCGCTGGTTTTAATAAATTCTCTTTTTTTCTTGTTTCTTTTTGTATTTCGGGGCTCTCTTTTTTCGCTCTCATTTTTCTCATTTTCTGC